TCAACCTGGACCACACGGGCACACGCCCTAGTACAACCTGCCGGCGGAGGTGTTCGTCACAGGGGGCTGCATCACAGCTGAGGCCTGAGGCAGGCTCGGTCGCTGGGTGGCGCCATCGCCGGCGCCGTCCGTCCGCGACAACGAAACAAGCACGAGCGTGCGAGGACGCGAGGCACGGATCCATCAGATCCACGACTATCAACTTGGGCTGGGCTGACGTTGCTATGGGCACGGGTAGGGTCGGGCCAGATAATGCCCACTGGATGAATTAAATTAAATTAAATTAAATGGCAGCCTTAAGATTCGTGCAGTTTTCAGAAAAAGGTTCACGGGAGCAAAACTCAAGACTAAAAGACAATCATCGTAATGACAAGGTGAAAAGAAGCCTGGTAATGCTGGCAGGCCCTTCGCGCTCTCCGTCGTGTGTTGCTCCTTCCACCCGTGGGCAAAAGGTCAACCTTTTGCAACTAGCGAAAACTGGATTCAGAACGAGGGAGGAGATGGCGGAGAGTAAACAGGGGTGCCTAAAGGGTAGGTCATCCCTCAACACCTCTACAACTACCCGAAAGATGACATATTTTCTTTAAAAACCAAGAATTTAAGTGGAGGCAAGTGCTCTCGCTTCTTGTGTACTGGGTTCGCCCCTAGGCTAGGGGTGCTCTTCACTCCCGACAGTGTGAGTAATGGCGGCCATTTCTTTTTCTGTGGCAATCTCCAGAATTAGAATCCTGAAGTTGTAAACGTCTAATTTTATCGAGTAATTGCCACTCGTGGTCAACTCAGGGGCTATAACCACTCCAAAAATAAATAACAGCAGTTATAATGTCTTATCAAGGAATGTAGTGCAATGTGATCGAACCGAAAGAATTAATTAACAATAAGTACTCACCGGATTCCGGCGGCACGACTTGTGACGTCGTGTGACTGGCCGCCTCCAAAGAAGATCTTAGGGTTCAATTCGTGGTCCAGAAGAACATTGCTCACTTTTTAGATCTCGGTAGATTACTCTAGCCTCCGAGTCTTCGTGGATGTATCGTAGACCTCTTGCAACACCAGCTATTATGGTTAACACTTTTTCGAGACCAAGCTGCTGACCGTGCTTCTGTGGATCTGTCATCGGTACAAACATATATTACTTACATACCGGGTCAATCTAAAAATACAAAGCTACTGGGTCATGAATAGTTAACTAGTTGATAAATTGAAGAGTGGCAAACTAGTAGTAAGAATATATAGCGAAAATCAGTTTGCCGAGGCTGCTGTTGGGTACGTACTTGTAAACGATTAGCCTTTCCAGGCCGTCTAGACATACACCTACCATCCTCACTCAGTTTGTTCGCTGGTTAGTTTGTAAACTGATAAGTCCGGTTGGTGCTGATTTGCTGTGAAAGAAAAACACTGTATTATGGCTGATAGGCCTTAACTGAAACCAACAAGCGAACAAGCTGACTATATGTAGCGGAGCTTGAAAAATACAGGAGGGGCCAAGCTATGTAAATCTTTCTTTGTTTAACAAATTTGCTCCCTAAAATCAGGTGATTCTATAGAAAGTACACAGGTTGAGGAGGGGCCTATGTCCCCTTTGGCCTAACTTAAGCTCCGCCCCTGCTCACTATATTCCTGTGCCGCAGTTTAGCAACAAAAATTATTTCGTTCCTCAGCTCTTGAACTCCCTGCCGAGAGTCAACGACAATCTCTTTGCTGCAATTTCTTGATTGTCGGGGAGAATTCCCTGTATCGTCTCGAGTAATGGAATTTAAATTCCAGCCCTCCTTTGGGGTAGTCTTGGGTCCACCCATGCAGGTTGTTATTAATTTTATATTTATGTGTCTTTTTTAAAGATTTAGAGCCTGTTCGATATTTTCAGCTTTGGATATCTCTCACAAAACTACTAATGTAGAAACACCTGCTGGCTTTACAGGTACCGAACAGGCCCATCGTATTTGCAGCATCTGTATGGGTCCGATGCCAATATGCATCTATATACGTGCAGGGCTTAGTACTCCCTTTACAGCTTCAGTACTTCAGTCTGTTACTACCTTCTTCTTTTTTTTGTAGAAGATCCGTTTTATTTAGCGATCGACTTACTCTTTCAGCAGCAATTGTTGTTGAAGAGCTACGGTTTGCCGTAGCGAATACTAGAAACAGTCAAACAGCTGCAGCGAGCAGGCTGAATTAATTACTCTATCCTGAGCAGCTAGCTGATGGAGGCGAACGTAACAGACGCGGGTCTGTTTGCTCCTCCTCGGGTAGTCCGGTGGATGAGGAGACTGTTTAGGCCGGCGCCACGTGACGTGTGGTGTGATCGGGTCGCGCGATGGGGGCGTGCGTGCTACTCGGAATCTGTTTGGGCTCCGTCCTCCCTCCTGAGGCGCAGCCCCTCTGTGATCGGGTCGCCTCGCGCGAAGCCGTCGCCGTTGACTCTGCCAGTCCCATCCCAGGCTCCCAGCACCCCATCCGTGACCGTGATTCCGTGGCCGTCCAGGGCACGCCGGGCCCACTGTTAACGAACTGTCCCCATGCGCCAGAGGTTCCCTTCGGGAAAGCGGACGCGAGATTCCGTCCACACACACCACACCGGGCCGGATCACGTGGGCGGGTGGGTGGGGCTATCCGCCGGTCCCGGCCGGCCGTTGCGGGAGAGTGGTGGGGGCCAGGCCACTCAGGTCACGCACGCCACACGGCCACACGGGTGGGGCGTCACTAGCTGGAAGGTACAGTATGGTGTGCCGTGTGCGTCCCTTGCGGGAGCGGTGGGTCCGTCACCGGTCCCGCGGTGGGTGGGTCTGCCTGCCAGTCTTTTCTCTGCGCCCGTGAACGAACCTGGTTGGCTGCAGTGCAGGTGCGACCAGTCCAGCTGGTGTGCCGCCGCCGTGGAGCTCCATGGAGCCGGAGGAACACGAACCGCAGACGGCCGGACGGGGACGGGGAAGCGGGAGTTCATTAACTCCGTACCCGTACGGGACGAAGCCTGGCGTGGGGATGCAAGACCACGTGGCGACGGCGGACGGACCGGCGATCTCCCCTCGGTCGCGAGTCCCATTTTCATTTTTCAAGGACAGGCTAGGCCGTGTTCGGCTGGCTGACGGGCTGACTGTTCGGCTGGCCAGCCAACTCATAAAATCATTGTTCACGTCCTATCAGAATAGTATTTTTTTTCTTACAACAATCAGCTGAAACAGTATTTTTTAGTCCTGCCGAACAGGCGGCTGCTGGCTACGCTGCGCTGCCGGACGCCGCGCGCGCGGTCCAGACAAAACGGCCGTTCCAGCACATTACTCTACACATTGGCGGATCCAGGGGGGCGCTGCAGCCCCATGAGAGTGATTTGATTTGTATTTACCGTAGGAAAAACGTGATTTCACTATTAATCTTTGATATTTATTCTAAATCTCTATTGATTAGCCCCCCGAGGTGCTCATTTTGGCTCCGCCTGTGACTCTACACATGCTTCGTCCTCGCCTTCCTTCTAGAAGCGCATTGAATTCCAGCCTAGGAGTACGCGAAACCATCCATCGGTTAGTACGTGGGGAATACTAAGAGCAAGGTGGCTGTAAAATACGTACAGAAACGTCTGGAATTTTGTGTGGACAGGAGAATGGCGTTCAGTTCGCCACGCCACGCGCGACGGGACGGGACACACGACGCAGAGTCCGCCCGGGCCGGTGTTGGCAACTAGCTGCGTTTCGATCTCTACGTGACACGCTGAGATGCATGCTGCGACCGTTGCAGCTGTTATATACTCCGTACTCCTATACAGGCAATGCATCCGCAGCCAAAACTAGCTAGAAGACACGCAAACAGTCCGGCCTGCCTAATAATTGATCATCCGCGTACGCCCAAACGCAAAACAGTCCTGCTCGTGCTGCGCCACCAATTAGGCCCCGTTCCCTTCGTAAAAAAACAAGACGAAATACTGTTCTAACTAATTTATTGTGAGAGAAAAATACTATTTCGATTAAAAAATCAAATTGAAATAGATAAATTATAAGAGAACCGAACAGGGCTTTAGAGATTTAGAGCTGAGCCATGGACGTAATCTCGCGTTGCGGCATGCATTACTGGCAGCCAAGCCAGGCCATAGTCAGCCAGCGCTGCTAGTTCTAGTGCCACGTCGGATCGCATCGGACACGGAGAAGATTTGGTCGATCTCAGTACTGCCCGCCTCCACGAGTTGTTGTCGCCCATTTGAAGCAAGCGTACGTACAATACAGGATTACTCGTGTATTACTACTGTACATCGCGTGTTGTTTTCTCCGGGCCACATGCATGGTGCTGATGAGCGGCACGCACACCCACACGAAACCCGTCCTGTCGCTGGCGGACCGTTGGATTGGATTGGATGGGGCCGCCTCCGCCCATCATATCAGGAAGAGCCTGTCGCGATTACGCCGGCCCCATAACTGACTTGTTTAACCCACATCCACTCACACTCCCTCTTCAAACCTATTTTGTTTATTAGTACTACTAATTATTATTACTCCTATACTACCGAGCATTACAGACAAGATGTAAACTAGTAACCTCCAAGAGAGAGGGGGGACGGAAATATCAACCTCAATCTCCAAGAGTCCAAACAGATCCCATCGCCCACCACCGCACATCACGACATGCCCCCTCCCAGCCACCGCTAGTGGAGGAGACTGAAAAAGATTAGATTTTTCTTAATTTATTATTTAACCTCTTCTCATCTCGTCTCTTCTTCCGTCTTCTCCCTCTTGACAATTACAATTATCTTCTTCCCCTGCAAAGTCCAACCCCAACAAGGGATTGCTGGCGGCCCCGCAAGCGAGAGAGAACTTTCAAACCAAACCAACAGTCCAATCCAATCCCTCGGGCAATCCGGTCCTGAGTGTGTGGCCGTGTGCGTGTATATAGGACACACGGCCGCCGCCGTCGCAGGCGTCGCTCCTACCGCCACCGGTCTCCCCTTCCCTTCGCCTTGTCGCTCTGCTCCGCTGTTGCCGTGACCCGGAGGAAGGAAGGAAGCAGAGGCGAGGATGGCGGAGGAGACGGTGCGGGAGCTGCGCGCGAGCTTCGCGGCGGGGCGGACGCGCTCGGCCGAGTGGCGGGCGGAGCAGCTCAAGGGGCTCATCCGGATGATCGACGAGAAGGAGGCCGAGATCAGCGCCGCGCTCCACGAGGACCTCGCCAAGCCGCACATGGAGTCGTACCTCCACGAGGTAAAATTATTACTATACTGCCTCACATCGCTCCCCCATGCCATGATTCCTCCTCTTCCCCCGGGTGCTGCTTATTGATTGTTCTTGTTCGTCGTGGGGACAGGATTAGGGGGTACTCTGCTTCCTACTCTCCGATTCCTCTGGGTTTAGTGTTCGTTGTTGGGCTTGCACGCTTTCTCTTTCTCTCGGGCATTCATTCCAATTCGTAATCCAATCCAAACCGCTGATGCTCATGTTCGTTCGAGTGACGAGGCCTTGGATTCCGATGTGATCCCCTCTCTTCTCGGATAGACATGGACTCCGTCCACTCCATCTGACGTGCGCCCTGGCCTTGATTCTTCTGACAGGGGGCGGCAGGCTAGTGTTCTAAATCGCGAATTCGTGATGATCCCACTCCCTGTTTTCGGCGGACTCTCTTCCTTGTCGCCGTGTTTTGGGAAAGCTGGGTGCTTTTCAGTCCAATTTGTTATAAGCATGCCCACAACTGCTGTGGGGACTGACTCTGCAAAGGCTTTTGCGTTGCGTGTAAATTGGTTCTTGGTGGCGTTGCTTCCACGGTCACCCGCGTCTCACTCAGCCTCCCAGCCTGGTCTTCCGGTTCCGCAAAATTTACCATACCTTGCCTGCTATACTTGCTGTACTTTGCTAATCATGTACTGTGCTCTAGTAGTTAGTAGTAGTGGTGGTAGTAAAAAAAGAAAACGGTGGAGCTGAGACGTGCTTGTCAACAGTCGTTTCTGACAACGATTTCACGCTGAAATCGTCTCCGAATGTAGCAGCACTTAGCAAATCATGCACCATACGGTAGCAGCGAAAAAAAAAGTTAAACCTGTGAGATTGTTTACTTCTCAGTAGTCACATCAAGATTAATTTCATCCTAATAACCTAGTAGTACTGTACTAACTGAGAACGGCATGTTGCCTCACCTGTGTTTGTGTTTGTGTTTGTGCCTCCTCAGATATCACTGACAAAGTCGTCGTGCAAGTTTGCGCTCAATGGGCTCAAGAACTGGATGAAGCCCGAGAAGGTATTTATTTGTGTTTCTACCTCTGCAACTCCAGCTTGCAGCAGACATGTTTATTTCTCCAGCTGCTGTCACTGTTTCGCTGCTGGTCTGGCGCTAAGCTTTTAGAATTCATTCGTGCTCAGATACCTGCGTCCATAACTACATTCCCGTCCTCCGCTCAAATCGTGCCGGAGCCCCTCGGTGTCGTGCTCATCATCTCAGCCTGGAACTACCCCTTCAGTAAGTTGATGATTCTAAGCTGCAAAAGATATTTTTTCTAAAAAATTGCCCGTCCGAGTCATCTCTGATTTTTTTCCTGCTAGTTCGTTAAAAAAACAATTGCAAAAGGTTTTGTGATAAGGTAGTTATTAAACAGTTCGTTGTTGCGTGATGGAGTTGGAGCCTAGAAGATCCTGTTATGAATTTCTTATGCTTGCGTGCCCCATGCTTGAGGGTGTGCTGTATTGATATTTCGTATCTTTCCTTTTCAACAAAGCAAGCTGTACGCAAACGCACTAGTTTCTTTCAGGCACGTCACTAGTCATAATTGGCCTCTAGTCAACATCTGAACATTCATTCAGAGCTCGTTTACAGCACAAATTCCACTAGAAGAAGCGATGCTTTGACCTTTTATAATTCATATATGCATGTTGTGAAGAAAATATCTTTGGCCTGATAGCCTTTTCCTTGATAATTCAAAAGATGGAAGGAAAAAAAATAGTACTCATTACTTGTACTTCTCCATTGTAGTACTCTCTATCGACCCAGTCATTGGAGCAATCGCCGCTGGAAATGCTGTTGTTCTGAAGCCATCAGAAATAGCACCAGCTACCTCGTCTTTGTTAGCAAACCTGCTACCCGAGTATGTTGATAACTCCTGTATTAAAGTTGTGGAGGGAGGCGTTCCAGAAACAACCGCACTCTTGGAACAGAGATGGGATAAGATCTTCTACACAGGTCAAGTTCTTAATACCTATGAATTTCATGGCTCAGTGGTTCTTTTAATTTCTTAGATTAGACGAAAGAATAAAAATCATCACGGACTCTAAAGGCTATGATACAAACACTGCCATTTTTACAAATAGTACATGCATTAGCCATCACACAGTTACGCAAATAGAAATTCTTTTAATATAATCCAAAAGTTCTTGATATTGAACTGTGCGTTGTTCTTGAGATTCCGACATGTATATGTTTTGATGAACTTTTCCAGGTAATGGAACTGTAGCACGCATAGTTATGGCAGCAGCCGCAAAGCATCTAACCCCGGTGGCTCTGGAGCTTGGTGGGAAATCCCCTGTTGTTGTGGATTCGAATGTTGATCTTCATGTAAATGCATCTCTGTGTAAACAATCATGTTCTTAAATAAAATCATCATTTTTTAGTTGTTACAGAACTTATATTTTCATTGTAGGTTGCTGTTAAGAGGATTGTTGTTGGTAAATGGGGATGCAACAATGGCCAAGCATGCATTGCTCCAGATTACATCATAACGACAAAATCATTTGCACCAGAGCTGGTATAGATAACCATGAGCATTATAGACAAAGAATCTCTTGCACAAAGCGAGAAACTAAACTTCCAATTTCTGCAATCGTTGGCAGGTGGCCTCTTTGAAAAGAGTTTTGGTAAGGTTCTATGGGGGAGGATCCTCTGCAATCAGCAGACTTGTCTCGTATTGTGAATTCGAAGCAATTCACGAGATTGCAAGATTTGATAGAAGAAAAAAGAGTTGCTGACAAGATTGTGTACGGCGGCGAGGCTGATGAGGAGCAATTGTAAGGCTTGTTAATCACACTTTTGCAGGTACAGATATACAGTAGTGAAAGTTCTTTGATTTATGTTAACATTTTTTTTTGTTGGGTCACAGAAAAATTGCTCCTACACTATTGTTAGATGTTCCACAAGATTCAGCAATTATGACGGGGGGAGATATTTGGGCCCTTGCTTCCTATTGTGACGGTCAGTAATATTTCTCTGCCTTCGTAGAACAACTGTAAATCTGCAGTAGTCTCTGCTTGGGCACCGGTGTTGCTCTGACTGATAATGTTGATGTCACCACTAGGACTCAAAAACCGGCTTCTGAAGGACTTAGAACTAAAAACCACGTGTACATAAACACAATAGGAATGCAGTTGAAGTTAAGCACTTAATTGTATGAGAGTACAACAGTGTCCCTTTGATATTATTTGAAAGTTGCGATTAAGCATAGTCTTAATTTAAAAGTTTTGGTTTCAAAATGTTAGCTTGAGGGGCAAAAAATTCATGATACATAAAAATTTCTGTGATGTTTTCATGTTGCAGTCGAAAAAACTCGTAAAACTTTGTTACCTGACCCTGTATCTGAACTGTGTTTTCAGGTCGAAAAGATTGAGGAGAGCTTCGACTTGATCAACGCCAAGCCTAAGCCACTCGCCGCCTACCTTTTCACCACCAGAACAAGAAGCTGCAAGGAGAGTTTGTGGCGAACGTCCCTGCAGGAGGGATGCTTGTAAACGACACCGCACTACATGTAAGTTCTGCCTCCCCGTAAACTCTCCCAAATGAAAATGAACACCTAGCTGGGAAAGCAAAACATATTATTTGCAGTGATGATCTAACTTTGCTCCCGTCCGGTCCTGCAATGCAACCCAGCTCACCAACCCGTACATGCCCTTCGGCGGCGTGGGCGACAGCGGGATGGGGTGCTACCACGGCAAGTTCGGCTTCGACTGCTTCAGCCACAAGAAGGGGGTCCTGATCCGTGGCTTTGGCGGCGAGGCGAATGCCAGGTACCCTCCCTACACGACGGAGAAGCAGAAGATCCTGAGAGGGCTCATCAAAGGCAGCTTCATCGCCCTCATCCTTGCCCTCCTGGGCTTCCCGAGGGAGAAGCATTAGATGCATGATGATCCTCTTGTCGGTTCAGTACAGCCTTTTGTTCGTGTTCGTCAGGTGCACATTATACACCATCATATGCTGCCAAATACTCCTAGAGGCAACAACTGCGCGCCGTGCTTGTGCACGGTTGTATAATGCATTTATATTGTCACATTGACATGTACGTCAGGGAGTTGTATAAATAAGTGTGATGTGTCTGTCAATTATTCAGTGTGCAGAATGGATACTTGCATAGGATGCGTGGCTGTGGTCTGAATCTCTGTCCTCTGATGGCGGTGGCGCATCGTACGTGTATGTACTGCTGTTAACTGGTCGATGAAACCGATGTGATAGGAATCAATGGAGTGGAGAGCACAAAACCAAATGCAAGAGCACATGGTGATCAGGCGGTCAGGTTTCTTGGTGGATTGAAAGAGTAAAGATAACCAGTGTACCATACCCGATGACTAGGCTGTAGGTTCATATCTGAAACATTATTTTTCTTGGCAGGAGGCAGCAGCAGCAATATAAGGGCCTGCGTAGATGAGCTAGAACTAATTACTGGTTGAGCTGAACACGATAATACTCTGACACGGGCGTTCGTCCTTATCCGCACTCCGCGCGCCCACACACCCGCCTCGCTTCTCCGCGGCTCGCTCCTGCCAGCGGTCCTTATCTGGACGTCGCACGCCCATGCACCCACCTCACGGCTGTCTTTCCCCGCGGCTCGCACTTGCCCGAGACGCACGTCCGACGGCGACCCACGGCTGCCCATTCCCCTGCGCCGAGCCGCGCGCCCCATCTCCTCCCCCACCCCCACCCCTACCAACACACGCACCGTCGTGTCCATCCCCCATGCCGTCGCTGCCTAGCCGGCCGACTCCGATGGAGTACGTGCTGTCGGCGGTGGCGAGGGTGCTGGAGCAGAGCAGCCGACGGCGTCGGGGGCGCCCTGGGAGATGGCTCTCCTCGTGGGGCCCCTCCGGACAGCAGCCCGACTCGGGCTCCCTGGTCGACTGAGGCTCATCGTTGCCACTCTAGCACCTCCCAGGGCGGCCTCCATCCGCTCCCTGTACTCCTCGCTGATATACCGTTGTTCCCCACCAAGTAGGCTGTGGCCTCGTAGGCGTATGCTGTGTTTCAATTGTTTCAGTCGTTTTAGATTTTTGTTTCAGTGTTGCATCTAGATGTTGCATATATTGCAATGACAAAATACGCATGTTGCAAACTTATGTTTCAAGTGTTTCAGGTGTTTCTAACGTATGTTACAAATGTTTCATCTGGATATTTCAAAAGCAGTTTTTAATGTTGCACATGTTGCAATGGCTATACCTGGGTTGCAAGAGCATATTTCAAGTGTTTTATCTGTTTTAGACTTATGATGCAAATGTTCATCTGGATGTTTCAAAAGTACACTGATGTTGCACATGGTGCAATGGCGCCAGTGGCTGGCGGACAGTGGCTTGCCGTAGGGCTTTGGCTCCTACGTCGCGCTTTCCTCACGCGACGCGCCTCAGCCTTTCCTTTCCTCTACCACCCTTCCCCTCCCCTCCCTTCCCTTCCCTCCATCTCGTCGTGGCAATTCGAGCTCGTCGGGGAAACCCTACATGACGAGCGCACGAACGTCGGGTAGGCACACTAACATGTGTGGGGCGGGTGGGAAGCACAGCAAGCGCAGCATCGTGCGCAGCAAGCGGGACAGGCGTGGGCGTCGGGACATGGGCTAGCGACCGGACATCCAGACACTAGCCACGCCGTATTAGTCAAGATTGGCTAGTTAGTTGGCTAACAACTAGGTAAAGATTGGCCTAAAAACTTAACCCACCTATTCAGTCCTTCTGTTTGGCTGCACTAGGTCCAATTTGTAAATGACGTCGTATTAGTTAAGGTTTAGCTAAAAATTTAACTCATCTATTAGCCCTCATGTTTAGTTGCACTAGGACTAGTTTAAGCTAACTTTTAGCTAGCTAACAATTAGCCCTTGTATCGTAACGGGCCCCAAGTCCACCTAGGTTGATTTTTATAGAAAATTTTCTTTTGAACTTTGCTATCAATACCTAAAATTTCATTTCATATAGACCAATAACACAAATCTTTTTAAATATATGTGTACTTTCGCAATTATGAAACTTCCCATTTAATATATAATTATTATATTATGTATTTACATATAGCGAAACAAAAAAGACATACACACGATGTGGTGTGTCAACCATCATCCGAATATTGTTTGTATCAGTGTTGCTCTCCGCATCTACCATGCGGTGAGACATGGATGATGGTAATAGTTTATGAGACGGTTCGATTTGAGTTTCACAGACAATGGCCCCGTTCGCTTGTCTTAAATCTGGTTTGTTCGGTTTGTTTTTTCAGCCGGAACAGTGTTTTTCTCTCACAACAATTCAGCCAGAACAGTGTTTTTCAGCCAGTTTCAGCCAAAGTTCAGACCAGCGAACGGGGCCAACGTGGCAACCCGGCGTGCACCTTGGTCTACTTGGGCGTAACTGTCAGATCCCAGCTGGGCCCAGCAGCAGCTGCGCCAGCTTGTTGGTCTGGGTCTGGCGGCCATCGGCGGCCCAGGCCCGTTAGCCAGGCTAGCGGGATCATGCCGCGACGAAGGAACTAACGCCATTTAGTTGCACTTTATTTTGTCAAAATTTTCAAGATTCTCCGTCACATCGAATCTTTGGACGCATGCATGAAGCATTAAATAAATAAAAAATAAAATTAATTACACAGTTTAGACGAAATCCACGAGACGCATCTTTTAAGCCTAATTAGACTATGATTGGACACTAATTGTCAAATAACAACGAAAACGTTACAGTGTCGTTTTGCAAAAAATTTCGCCATCCAAACTGGCCCTAAAAAAACACCGCACAGTGTACTACTGGAGAGAGAAAAGAAACTAAGGCCTTTTGTAGTGTGTTGCTTGAGTGATGCCTATAGAGGAAAGAGAGGATTGAGGCATCACTCGTCACACTGCTGAGAGATGATGGGCCTGTTCGCTTGAACACTTACGGTATTTTTTTCTCGTAATAAATCAACTTCAGCCAATTTATTAGTCGGGTTTAATACCAGCTTTAATTTCTACCGATGCAAGAAATCTGGGAGCGAAGCAAGTACATGCACCGGTGCTAACTCAATAGAAAAATAGGCGACAGCAGGCTCGGTAGTGTTCGATTGGACGCAGCCTAGTGAAGCAAGGAGACTAATTATTCTGGGCAACAGTACTTTATTTCACACGGGTCCCACATCAAGTAAAGTTGGCTCCGGTACCTGTCTTTTGGACACTGCAGCACTTCTGGATTCGATGCCAGTTAACTCGATATAGGACCTTTTTTTTCTTCCGGACACCACTATCACACTGTGGACAGCCTAATATGCTGTAGAGAAAAACGGAACAAAGCCCAACTTGCGCTTACGTGGCCTAAGGAAAGGAAAAAGGGCTTGAATAATTCTATTTCCCTTTTTATTGAAATTCCAATTTTCCTTTTCTAATCTAATGCAACGAAATTCTGCTACTAATATATTCAAAATATTTCCACTTTCTACAATTTGCGGCCTTGAGCCATGTACGCATGGTCCACTGGGAACCAATCGTTACGTAATGAGGCCTGGATGTTGCACCAGATCAAAGCTTATTGGTTTCCAACCCATGAGCTGCTACAACTTCTCTTGGGCTAAAACTTTAGGGGCATGGTGCATTGAAAAAAAGTCCATTTTACTTTCTATTGGGGTAATCTGATTTGAATCCTTGAATTTTAAAATCAGAGACATTACCCCTTAAACCCTCAAAACCATTCAAAGTACCTCACTAACCTGTTTCGAAGTGGTTTTGAACGCCGTTTTGTCCTTCTCTATTAAAAAATCTAGTAAATATTTGATAGGGTTATTAAACCACAAAGATTGCCTCTAAGCTTCTAAAAATTTAAAAAAGAATCAGATAGATTGAGATACAATGAATTCCAATAAAATTTTAGAGCTCATGAAAATATCTCTATATAAGCTTCCAGAAATTCGACTTAGCTCCAGAAAAATAGAAAATATCTAGAAAATTTCAAAATCATTCTATTTATTGTATTTCATTTTTTTCCTTTAGCTAGTTTCAAAGGTGGTTTCACCTCATATGTATTTCCTAGAAGTAATAAATTTCATTTGATCTCTAAAAGTTCATAGATAGTTCATTATAGATTAGAAAAATACAAAACAAGCAACAAAATGGTAGGTTAATTAAATATGGATGACAATGGGATGACACAATTTTATTTTCCTATCTAAGCTTATCACTAGCTTTTTCGTCTATGTCATATTTTGCTAAAAGAGACTCATTCTCAAGTTTTTGCTTTTCATTTTTAGCTCTTGTCTTTCTTATGATTTTAGTGTAGTCATTTAGCAGGACAACTAGATCATCATAGGAGAGTGATTCAAATTCTTCATCACTATCACTACCATTTTCATCACCACTACTCTCATCATCACTTTGTACCTTTCGATCACTCTTGGCCATAAGGCATAGGTGTGTAGAGGAAGATGGCGGCGGTGGCGGTGAAGATAGTGAAGACCCAATCACAAGAGCGGCCACCTTCTCCTTCTCATTATCACTTTCACCATCGGATGAGCCACTTGATGATTCAATGTCCGTGAGCCAATCACCAATAATATAAGCCTTGCCATTCTTCTTGTTGTGATATTCCTTCTTCTTGCTGTGATATTCCTTCTTCTTGCCATCCTTCTTCTTGTATGGCTTGTTTTTCTTCTTCTCATCATCATCATCACTTGAGTCATCTTTCTTGCCCTTGTACTTCTTCTTGTACTTGTCTTTCTTAGGCTTGGAGCATTGATGAGTGTTGACATTAGATATGGCAAACAGATAAATCCGCAAGCGCACGGATATCAATGTAGCTTTCACCCGGGAGTATTCCAAGGTATCGTATTTCCATGGGGAACGCGAAGTGAACTAGACTAAGAACTAAGTTTATCCAAGGAATAGCACAAGGGTAAAATAGTAGGTAGAGAGG